CGTCATTTTTGGATGTTTTGACTCCCCTACGTATTATTTAAGTTTTTCTTTTTATTTATCGTTTATATTTACATATAAAAGCGTATACACTCCTTGCATAAAAAGTATTATAGCTACACTTATCCTGTTGTTGGACTCACTAGGCGTAAGCCTAACACTTTTCTTGACTTGGTTGCTTAGCAGGTTCTTTTAGCGGTGGGGTATCGAAGGGTTGAGAAGTATGGTCGTTGGTAAAGGTCATTTTGGGGTCAGAACACTTGACGTCCGAGCGTTGCTATTTTGGTTAAATTTTGTTTTTGTTGGAGGCGGTAGAAACACCCGTTCCTAAGCTAGGCATAGAAATGTTTAGATTATTAGGTTGTTAATTATCGTCTCATTTTTTTATTTTGTAAACGCTTTACTCCTGCCCTTTGTTGGGTGATCTACCTTTTAAATTGTTAAATATATTTTTATATTTTAGGGTGTTTCAAGCATGGTGTTACAAGTTGGTATCAAAGCGCTAGTTTAAGCGAACTAGGTAAGGGATCTTGACGCCTAGACTTAAGCTGAGATTGTAAGTGTTAATTGTGAGATGTGGGTAGAAACTTTTATGATAGGAGAGCTTTAGAGTCATCGGAGCTACCCGTTCATGAATTGTGACGATGGTGTTGAGAATTCTTATGTATAACCTATTCAAAATTTCACTTAGCTAATGTTATTTTGAGTAAGTTACTACACAAGCGTGCTTGAACTTATTGTTATTACAAGAATTTATGAACGTATCGGTATGTATTATGTTAATTCCGTGTTCGTCCTATCATAACTCTCTTTCACTCTCTTGTATGATAGTCTTTAATGGTGAATACTCGGAGTAGACGGGATACATCTCTAGAAGGTCTTGCGGTAATTGAATCTACAGCGGATCAACCGCCACGAACCACCATCGCAAGGGTTCCTCCTAGGCAAAACACCTCGGGCGATGGAGTTGGCCGCGTTCCCTAAGATAACCTTGCCACCTCTAGCCCTATAATCGAAGAAGAAACCCCGGAGTCAAGAATGATGGGCACAAATGATGGACGTTATGAACAGAGCTATGGTCCAGCAGCAAGAGTTCTTTATGAAGTTGTTGGAGGATAGATATGACAACAACCGTAAGCATGAAGCAGATGCCGAGAACGTAACCATCGTGGGGTCCGGGGTACCAGAAATGGAGTCCCAACTCAAGAACTAGCAGCAATTGATGCAAGACATATGGGAAGGGTTTGTTCTTACAAGACGTTTTTGAGTTGCAAACCACCGGAGTTTGTGGGGTCAAATGATCCCGTGGCATGCATGAACTGGCTTCGAGAGATCGAACAGGCCTTCCGGGCTTGTGACTGTGATGAAGGGCAAAAGGCGAAATTTGGCTCTCAAATGCTTAGGGGTGCGGCCCTTGGTGGAACATTGTCATATCAACTATAGAGGCTCAGGAGCTAGCCAAGATAAGTTGAGCCACGTTTAAGGAGAAAGTATTAGAGGAATATTGCAATGAACAAGAAATGGATCGTATTGAAGAGGAATTCCGAACCCTTAAGAAAGGAAACTTGTCAGTGAGGGACTACACACGACTTTTCATGGAAAAACTGAATTTAGTGGGACATGTGGCTTCAACGGAAAAAGAAAAAAATGAAAGCTTATCTTAAGGGATTGCCCGCAGACATGATGGTTATGGTTAGGAACTCCAGGGCCTCCACCCTTAGGGAGGCAATTGAGGAGGCGAAAGTCATGGAAACGGTTTACGCCAAAGGACGAGAAGAGAAAGTGGTGAGTGGTGAAAAAAGGAAGTGGGAAAATCATTACGCACCTTCCAAGAGACCAAGTCATCCTAACAACAGCAATCAGGGAGTTTACCCTAGACAAGAGGCTAGGTGGTGTTCCAAATGCCCGCACTAAACACCATGGCCCGTGCACCACCAACCCTACTCCTGCAAAATGTTTTAAACATGGGAAGCCAGGCCATACGCGAAATGAATGTCCTAACAAAGGGCCCATCTGTTTTGGATGCGGAGAGCCGGGTCACTTCAATAATGACTGTCCGAAGATGAAGGCGGGAGGGGGCCAGGGGAGGAAAGAGAGTACCCCAAGAACAACCAGCCGAGCCTTTCAGATGACTGCGAAGAAGTCAAGGCATCGTCTGATGTGGTGTCGGGTACGTTCCTCGTTGACTCCATACCTGCTCACGTACTTTTCGATTCAGGTGCTTCTTGTTCTTTTGTGTCTACTACATTGTACCAACTCTTGCATACGCCCCCTAGTACTCTAGAAGATGCCTTGATCATTGAATTAGCAAATGGAAGTAGGGTTCTGGTGTGAGAGGTTGTTAGGAGATGCGTATTGAGAATCAAGGGAAAGGAATTTCGGGTGGACCTTATACCCATGGCTATCGGCGGATTTGACATCATAATTGGAATGGACTGGTTAGTAAATAACCAAGCGGAAATCTTATGTGCTAAGAAATTGATTCAAATTCCTTTACCGGACGGGGACGCAGTGCTAGTATATGGAGAGAGAAGGAAGGGAGACGTAGAACTCCTATCTGTGACAAAGGCGCGAAAATACTTAGCTAAGGGATGTCCCTCATTCTTTGCGTATGTGTTGGACACCAAGCTAGAGATAAGAAAAACTGAAGACGTGAAGGTGATTAGGGAATTTCCTGACGTATTTCCGGAAGACTTGCTCGGTTTACCACCCGTTAGACAAGTGGAGTTCCAAATTGACCTTATTCCGGGAACCGCCCCAATTGCTAAAGCACCTTACCGTCTGGCCCCTTCCAAGATGCAAGAATTGATGTCTCAGTTGCAAGACCTTTTTGAGAAATGATTCGTTAGACCGACTGTGGGGAGCTCCGGTTTTATTTGTAAAGAAGAAGGACGGCACCATGAGGATGTGTATTAACTACCGAGGACTCAACAAAGCAACTGTAAAGAACAAATATCCTCTCCCCAGGATCGACGACCTTTTCGACCAACTTCAGGGAGCAAGTTGCTTCTCAAAGGTTGATCTTCACTCGGGGTACCACCGAGTACGCGTGAAAGAAGATGACGTGACAAAGACAACTTTTAGGACACGTTATGGGCACTATGAATTCTTGGTCATGCCCTTCGGTTTGACAAATGCACCAACAGTATTTATGGACTTGATGAATCGGGTCTGCCGACCATTCCTCGACAAGTCCGTAATTGTATTCATTAACGACATACTTATTTATTCCAAGGATGAATCGGATCATAAACAACACCTTCAGGAGGTCCTCGAAATGCTAAGAAAGAAGAAGTTGTACGAAAAATTCTCCAAGTGCGACTTTTGGTTGAAGGAGGTTCAATTCTTGGGTTATGTTGTCACTCGAGACGGAGTGAAGGTAGACCCATCCAAGATTGAGGCGATGATGAACTGGGAACCACCAAAGAGTCCTTCAGAAATCCGTAGCTTCTTGGGTCTGGCGGGATATTATAGGAGATTCATCCAAGATTTCTCCAAAGTTGCTTCCTCCTTAACGGCTTTGACTAGGAAAAATGTGAAGTTTATCTGGACGGAGAAGCAAAAATATGCCTTCAGAACTCTCCAAAAGAAGTTGTGTGAAGCCCCGATTCTCTCCCTGCCGAAGGGGTCCGAAGACTTTGTAGTCTTTAACGACGCTTCAAAAATGGGGTTGGGTTGTGTCTTGATGCAAAGGGGAAAAGTGATTGCCTACGCCTCAAGAAAACTCAAAGACCATAAGAAGAACTATCCCACCCACGATTTGGAGTTAGCGACGGTGGTGTTCGCCTTAAAGCTTTGGCGCCATTATCTTTATGGTTCCAAGTGCACGCTTTTTACGGATCACAAGAGTTTGAAATATATTTTCGATCAAAAAGAACTAAACATGAGGCAGCGACGTTGGCTTGAGCTGCTCAAGGACTACGATTGTGAATTGCTATACCATCCGGGTAAGGCAAATGTAGTGGTGGATGCTTTGAGCCGAAAAGAGTACGGTAGTGGGACAAAAGCTGTGCTTACCAGGATCGATATAATGTCCAGTCTGGTCGATCGGATCAAGGTCGTGCAATCTGAAGCGCTTCTGGAAGAAAATCTCAAGAGTGAAGTAATAATGAAACAATGCATGCTGTTGACAGAGGATGGCCATGGCTTGAAGCTATTTCGAGGGCGTATATGGGTACCCAAGATTGGAGGCAATCGTGAACTATTACTAGAAGACACACAAAAGTCTAAATACTCAATTCATCCAAGCAGCACCAAGATGTATCGGGACTTGAAACTGACATATTGGTGGCCGGTTATGAAGCTAGATGTGGCTCGTTATGTAGAGAGGTGCGTGACTTGCTTGCAAGTGAAAACGGAGCACCAACGACCTTATGGTAGCCTTCAATCCTTGGAGATCCCCGAGTGAAAATGGGAGCATATCACAATCGATTTCGTGACCAAGCTACCGAAGACCTTAAGAGGCCATGATGCGATATGGGTAGTAGTGGACCGACTGACAAAGAGCGCTCATTTCCTGGCAATGCGTGAATCGTTGCCAATAGACAAGCTTGCCAAGTTATACATCGATGAAGTAGTCTCGAGGCTCGGTATACTGTTGTCGATAGTGTCAGATCGAGATAGCCGATTCACCTCCCATTTCTGGGGCGGCTTGCAAAAAGAATTGGGCACGAGAGTAAAGTTGAGTACGTCGTACCATCCTCAAACTGATGGTCAGAGTGAGCGGACCATTCAAACTCTTGAAGATATGCTTCGTTCGTGTGTTATAGACTTTGGCGGGAATTGGGATTCTCACCTACCCCTGGTGGAGTTCGCCTACAACAATAGCTATCATTCCAGTATCGGGATGGCACCTTTGGAGGCTTTGTATGGTCGAAAATGTAGGACTCCATTGTGTTGGCTAGAAGCGGGTGAGAAACAATTCTCCGGTCCCGAAATTGTTCAGGAAACGGCTGACAAGGTGAAATATGTTCGAGAACATTTGAAGGCAGCACAGGACCGACAAAAGAGTTACGCAAACAAGAGGAGCTGACCTATAGAATTCCAAGTTGGCGACCGCATGATGCTAAAAGTGTCTCCTTGGAAAGGTGTTATCCGTTTTGGAAAGCGTGGGAAGCTAAGTCCCCGATTCCTTGGACCGTTTAAAGTCTTGGCTAGGGTGGGACTCCAGGCTTACAAATTAGAACTGCCACCTGAAATGGCCGAAATCCACCACACATTCCATGTATGCTATCTTCGTAAGTGCTTGGCGGAAGAAGAAAGTGTAATACCACATTCAGAAATTCGTGTAGATGAGAACAACCGTTGCGTGGAAGAACCAGAAGCCATCTTAGATAGGAAGACCAAAGCGTTGAGACACAAAGATATTGTTATGGTTAAAGTGCAATGGAAGCATCATCGAGGGTCAAACGTAACATGGGAAACAGAAGATGACTTAAGGAGACGTTACCCTCACCTTTTCGCTTGAACAAAAATTTCGAGGACGAAATTTAATCGTAGGTGAGGAGGATTCTCTATGAATTATATTTGCATGTTAGGAGTTTAGACTCTCCCTTTATTTATTTTATGTACTTCTAGTATAAAGAAAAGGGGATTTCATTTGGATAATCTTTGGATTTCAAAAGTTATTAAAAATGGTTTTTTTTCTTAAAAGGGAGGGGGGGGGGTTATTACCCTCTACATTTTAATCCTAACCCTTAGACTTTCCTCAGCCTAGGAGAATTTTCCCTTTTGGACTTTGAGTCCTTACCTACCAGTTCTGTTTTAATAGGGAGGTGGAGTTTAGATTTCTG